TGTTGTTTTGACTGTTTGGGGCAACATGGGCATTAGCCCCCGGCCCCCCTCCCCCCCTAACGCCCCTTGTCCCCCCAAGTGAGCTCTGGGCATTGCCGCCGTGCGCATCGGGCACACGGCGGAGGGCGGGCGTTACATCATACCCCCCCGCCCCCCCCTATAATGCCCAGTATCACCGAAAATGAGGAAACGCGCCAGTTTCGCATGGATCGCGTATACGTCTCGAGCGACGCCAACATTCCCACGCAATTTGTGACGGAGTCCAGCCCGAGAGCGCGATTTCTGAGCGTCGAGGGCGCGGCGTTTCATCACATTGCGAGGAGGTCCCACGCGAGAGCAGGATCCCTGGACAAGTGCTGAGGAGGTCCCGCGCGCGAGAGCACGCGTTGGAAGCCAATGTGGGGGAGTGGTTTGCGGGAACCGCTGTTGTTGTAACGCGGGGGGGGAGGAGGAGGATGTGGAGGTGGAGAATGGTGAGGCGGGGAGGAGGAGGAGGAGTAGGAGGAGGGGGAGGAGGAGGAGGGGGGAGGAGGAGGAGGAGGAGGAGGAGGAGGAGGAGGTAGAGGAGGAGGAGGAGGAGGAGGTGGAGGTGGAGGTGGAGGAGGAGGAGGAGGAGGAGGAGGAGGAAGAGGAGGCGAGGAGGAGGAGGCGGAGGAGGGGAGGAGGAGGAGGAGGAGGAGGAGGAGGAGGAGGTGGAGGAGGAGGAGGAGGAGGTGGAGTAGGAGGAGGAGGAGGAGGAGGAGGAGGAGGAGAAAGAGGAGGAGAAGGAGGGGGGGAGGAGGAGGAGGGGAAGGAGGAGGAGGAGGTGGCATTCTTGAGCGTCGAGGGCGCGGCGTGCTGGGACACGGCATAATCGGGGAGGTGCTGGGCGGCGCCTCCAGCGTCGCCCTTGGTGGCGCGCTCCGCGCGCCAGGGAGGGGGGTCCAATCCAAGAAGCGCCAACAGTTTATGTTCATGTAGTGTTTGCTTGTTGTGTGTTCGATACTTTTTTCACTTCTTCTGAGTACATGTTAATTCTGAATGCTTCTGTCATCTTCTCTTCTTCTAGGGCGGCTCCGCGCGAGCCAGACGGATGGCCACTTCTGCCACGCACCTGGGGACACTGAATATTTGGGTTCCAAGAACGTGGTAGGCATATAGAAACGCTGGGACGGTCGGTCCCTGCTCAACTCCCAGCGCCAAGGCCACCTCAGGCGCCGCCCTACTTCAAGGGTCCAGCAGTTGGCCTCTTCCCTGTCCAGGAGAGGTGGGTGGAGATTCGATGCACTTGCGGCGCTTGTCAACCACTTTTTCCTACCGAAGGGCACGCCTGCTCGTGGCGCGCGTCTTTGCCTCACCGGGGGGGGGGCTCAGCTTCCAGCGGAGAGGCAGAGACCCTCCAACTTCTGGTGGCGGTGGTGGAAAACAGGCCCATCAGAGTGGGGCGGGCATGAATCCTGACCTCCCCGGAGGAGCGGCACGGGGTTCTTCCGGCTTTCAAATCATGGGAGCCTTGTGTACCCTCCTAATTCCGTTGTTGGAGTGCTGAGTGCTCCAGCGTCGATTCGCATTTGGTACAACCCGCTGGATTAAAAAGTGGAGACCGTGGGGATCGAGGAACACACGGTTGGCCTCCCGTTAGGCCACGGGGCACCGGGTCAATGTTGGATTCGGGGCCGAGTCGGGAATTTCAGATGCATCTCTCACCCTTTCTCGTATTACAACGGCCGAATGGGGTCAGCGTCTGAAAATGTGATTCCGCCTGAGACTTCCGCAAAACATAAGCAGATCGCCTTCCAGGGCGATCTGAAAATTTGCCGCGCGATTTTGCTTGGGACTTCCGCAGAACAAAAATCAGTTACATCTTCATGCCGCTTGAGAGTGGCGATATCGCCTGAGTATTCCTCGCAGGGTATTTTCCGACCGCTTTTCACGCCGCCACAGAGTTTCGATTTCGTTTGGGCTGTCCTAGCAACCGCGCTTCTTGTCCACCCCTGCGTCGCCGTTCCTCCGTTCGGGTGACGACTCTGTCTGGGAGTTACTTGGGATCGATCGAAGGTCGAAGCTTGAGTTTTTTCCGATTGGCGAAGGCCCAGCGGTTATTCCGTGCCATAGTGCCGATCACCATTTTTCAATACAGGGGGTGGTAGTCGATGTTTTGGCGCCAAGTCAACGTCGAGGAGCGCAGGTGAGCGTCGATTCAGCATCGACCCGCGTCGATTTGGCAAGAGCCAGCAAGATGATGTGGGAGGCTCCCACGAGTTGCCACCGAAGGGTGCTGGTGTGGTGGTTGGAGTGGTAAAGGGTGCGAACCCTAAGATAACAGGCAGGATATCTTGACGGGGAAGACGTGGCGTTGGTGGGGATGGCGGTGGGGCTGGTGGAGGAGGAAGGGCACGAACCCGCAGAAGACATCAGGGTATGCCCCTCGCCCGCGCGGCGCGACGCGACCTCCTGAACAGGGGAAGAGGTGGCGCTGGTGGGGACGGTGGTGGGGCTGGTGGAGTGGGAAAGGCAGGAACCTGGATGAAACAAAAAGGATACCTGCACAGCCCGAGCGGTCCGACGCGGCCTCCCTGGCGGGGGAGGACGTGGCGTTAGTGGGGCTGGTGGTGGGGCTGGCGGTGGGAAAGCTGCGAATCCGGATACATGACATGGTGTCCGCATCGCCCGCGATGTCCAATGTGAGCCCGAATAAATAGCAGGGAATCCGCATTGCGGGCGCTGTCCGACGCGGCCTCCTTGGAGGGGAGTGGGGACGTGGCGCTGGTCAAGAACCCCACTCAGCATGTGGGAGAGCACCATCTGGCAAATCAGCGATGTTGGCCTCGGTCCTACTGCGGATCCTGTTGGAAGTCCACTATGGCCGTCTTGGGGCCATCTTGGGCCATCTTTGCGGCCTCGGTGGCCTGCCTGGGCCGTCTTGGAAGCCATAACGGGCATCCTAGAAGAATTGGAAAGCGCAAGGGAGGCGTCGCTGCTCCAATGGTGCCTCGGGAGAGGGGGGGGGCATGCCACTGGACGCGGGTAGGAGGATGCCTTGCGTACATGATTACAGTACCCCCTACAGACAGCACTCGCTTTGAAGTGGCCATCCCTCCATTTCCACAGGATCACAAAACGACGAACGTCAAACCATTGTGGTTCACATTCTCATTTTTTAAATAAAGCCGCAGCGCCCGTCACGTGTCTTTACCGCTGTTGGTGCTGAACCCCCCAGCGGTTGCGCTAGGTCTCTCAAGGGGCTTGGTGAGGACCAAAAATCGAATTTCCATGAGCAACGCCTGGGAATCGCTTCCAGACGGGATGATGGGGGCGCGCGAAACGTGAAAGTTAGGAAAGATGGATCCCGCCGCCAGGACCCCAAACATGTCGAAGAGGCCGACGAAAATTGTGAAGCCGACCTTAAAGGACGTCGAAAAGAACGGACGACAAAAAGACGACGACAAATGAGCCTTGGCGTGCGCGCGCGTGGCGCACGGCGAGGTTGGCGCGAGCTGAAGACGCGCGCGCGCACCGATGCTATCGCGCGCGCCCCCGCTGCGGGCGAAGCGCGAGGCGCGCGTGCGCGCGCAGGGCGGGCGCAAGAGCGTTCCCTGGTCATCCGCATCTCGGTTGCCGCTGTGGGGCGGCTCCCGGCACTCTGTTCCGCAGGTTCTTCTGCTGTGACGCACACGCGGCGGGCCAACGTCAGGTGCTGTTGTCGCCTGAGCTTCGCAGGGCGGTGAAGCGCATGACCACGGAGCCGGAGGATCGCCGGGATCGTTTTGCCCGGGGCCCGAGGGCCGGGCTTCTCCCACATCCCGCCCAGGGACTCCAGGGTCAAGCAGGGCACGGCCCACTTCGGGTCGGGAGGAGGGAACTCCACGACCCCTTCGGCGAATGTTGGTGCGCAAGTCGTTCGTGGAGTCCGCCCCGCGGCCGAGGGAATGGCATGCGGGCGCCCACTCCATGCCCGTGCACACGTATTCTTGGGAAGCCCGGAACAACACATGCTCATTTCAAAATCCAATCAATCACCGTTGAATACTGATTACTTGTTTCCACGACAACATGGCGACTACTCTAATGCAATGCAGAAGCCCCAACGCACGCCCACTAATAGTGGCCGCCCATGCCACCCGCCCAGACTTCTAGGATTCCTGGCGGCACCAAAACGAGCCCGGCGCGCACCGTTGGCACGCGCGCGGGTGAGATGACGCGCGCGCAACGAAGTATCGGCACGAGCGACATGGGTACGGAAAGAACGGGTACAATGTTCAACAGCAGTTCTTGTTCATTTTGAGCACGACTCGCTGTCCGCGCCGCCGCGGCTTGTGTCCAATTGAGGCAGAAGCCCGCCTGGCCCCACAGAAGCCGCTGCTGGTTTTGGGCAACATGTGTTGTCGGGCATTGTACCCACTTTCTTCGTATCACTTTCGGGCATACAAGACGTAGTGACCCACCAAGAACAGCGCATGGTCCGTCCGCATTGCACAAGGCGCGAGGCCAACGCCAACCATGATTCGGGCCGGGCTGTGGTTTCAGAGTTGAGTTCGCATATCTCTGAACGTAGGTGGGCACGATCAAGTTGATAGTTTTGGAAACCAGTGTTTCTTGTCAAGCGATGTGTCTGTGGATCTTGTCATATAGGGAATGTGGAGGTGACAAGTGCCGGGGGGCACGGTTGCTGATATCTCTTCACAACTATTGCGCCACACTGTCAGCGCCCCACGTAATACACATCCAGAGAGCATGAGCGCATTGTTCCGGCCCCGCGCTGGCGAACATATTTCCGCATCGAATTTCCCAATTGTGTTTTTGCTCCTCTCCCACATTGCGAATATCTTATCCAGTGTCGTTCCTGCTGCTCCAGCTCCTGCTCCTCTTTCTCCCTCTCCCTGCTCCCGCCCCTCCCCGCGTCCTCGCAGCCCCATTTTCCTTCTCCCCCGCCAGGGCGTCTGATGCACCCGTGGCCGCCTGTGATCCGCTTGTGACGCCCGCGGCGATCGGCAGACGATGCGCGATGGAGAATCCACTTGATGCTCGACGGTCAGCGAGTACCGCGGCCAGGCGCTTCGTCGGCCCGCGAGGTGCCCGCCGAAAGGCGCCAGCAGACAAGAAAACAGTGGGACGCAGCACTCCATTCGCTATGCGAGGCGTCTCGGCTGCGCGCCGGCATCCGCATAGGCCAGTACGTCACGGCCGTCAGCGCGTGCGGAAAGGCCCGGCAGTGGCAGTGGTCGCTGTCGCTGCTAGGCGAGATGGGCGGGGCCACGCTGGAGCCCGACGTCACCTGTTCTACGGTAACTATCTGGCCACGGATGTCCGCTCCCGTACCCCAATCCCACTTATTCTCCATCCGTCTTTCCATTCCCTTCCTCTCTCTCGGCGGCGAGCCCGAAGAGGAAGTGAGACAGAAAATGCCTTTTTCAGAAGGCCGGTTTTCTCAGAAGCCTTCGTGCCTTCTGATAAGTCCTCTGTGTCTCCGGGGAAGGTCCACACCACTTTTCAGAAGGCTGGAGGTCTTCCGGGCCGTCCGCAAAGGCCCGCCCCCCTGCTCATTTCCCCCCCAGGGCTTGCCGCTGGCACTCTCCTCTCTCCCTCTCCTCCCTGCTTGATCCCTCCTCCTCCTCCTCCTCCTCCTGCTCCTCCTCCCTCCTCCTCCCTCTTCCTCCTCCTCCTCCTCGTCTTCCTCCTGCTCCTCTTCCTCCTCCTCCTCCTCCTCCTCCTCTTTCTCCTCTTCCTCCTCCTCCTCCTCCTCCTCCTCCTCCTCCTCCTTCTCCCCCCTTTTCCCAGGCCTTCGACGATGGGGCGGTGCGAGCCGCTGGCCCCCTCGAGCTCCCAGCCCCCCCCAGGGCCTTGCTTGAAGTCGGGCTCGTCCCTCTACACTTAAGTCGGGCTTGTCCCTCTACAGGGGGGATATTCCAACATGGTCCAAACATAATGTTGGGGCGATGTTTTGACTAGTTTTGACTATGTTTGGAGTTTTTTTTTGCCGCCCAAGATCCGCCTCTAGGGGAGCAGGCCCGACCTAGTTTTATACAGGAGTTATGTTGTCCCCGTCGTTCTTAAGGACCACATCCCAGAAACCGGAAGAGTGTCGAGACGGTATCGAAACGGTGTCGGACGAGAGTGTCTCCCAGGGCCCGACACGTGAAACTCATCGAGGTTCGGTATTCTTTTGGTGCTCGGAATTCGTTTTCCTGGTCAAGGCTAGAGGAGGTGGGAACATCATACGACAGGAGAGATATCCAAAAATAGTCCAACAATAGTCAAGGGATTGTGTTCTTCCTTTGTCAGACCATGTTTTATACTATTGCAGTGGCCTCCGGCCAGTGCCGCCGATCCGGGACTCTTCCGTTGTTGCCCAAAGCGCACGATGGCGGTCACGACCTGCGACGACGGCGAGCGGTGAGGTTGATGACGATTTGGATTGGAGGCAACGGAGTAGGATGAGGAGGAAGAAGAGGATAATCCTGATGAGGTGGAGGGGGCGGGGGTGAAGGGCCGGAGTGGCAGGATGCTGAGGTTAGGGGGGGCAGGACGAAGCGGGGAGTGGAAGAGGGGGAGGGGGAGAAGGAGGAGCATGACGAGGATGAGGAGATGTTCGGCGGTTGTTGGAGATGTTCGGCGGTTGTTGGAAAGCCTCTTTGGGGCCAGGCGTTGGCCCTCATTGGGTTGACGCCTCGACGATTTGGCGCAATGTCTCAAAAACTTTGCGCTAGAGCTGTCTACGTCACACTTCTCTGTGAGACCTTGTGAATTACCGGTCTCTGCTGGGAACCATGGTGTTTTTGGGTCCCCTGGGGCCTTCGCGCGGCTTTTGCGGGCCCCTCTGGTGGAACGGGGCGGGAGGGCGTTCCCCAGTACACATCACCAGACCAGGCCCCACTAAACCCAATTCTGCCAACGCTCGACAAGGGAGAGCTCTCAGGTGTGCGACGTCGGCCTGTGCGGGCTCCTGGCACGCCCCGGGCGCGCCCAGGCGCGCCCCTGGGCGGCTCCAGCGCACGTCAGAGCGCCTCCAAGGAACGCCAGGGTGGGTTGAGTCGGGCTTGTCCCTGCGCAGAGGGGAATATTCAAAAACTCGGGGGTCGTTTTTTTCTTTATTGTTGATCATTATTGAGTATAGTTCGTTTTTTAAAATACATTAAAAAAATGCTCCAAATCCGCCTGTTGCGGGGCATGCCCGACCTAACTCCACGGAACGCCAGGGTGGGCCCCAGACGTGCCCGAGACGAGTTCGGGACGTTCAAACGTGCTTCCACACGGCCCAAGATGCCTCGAAGCCCTTTTCCAAGAGGCGTCCAAGGGGGTTCAGAGAAGCAAGCATCGTCCCAATCCTCGGGGGACACGGACCATTTCGAACAGTTTCGTTTTTTTCGTGTTCACGGAGCCAACGACGGCCACACAGGCCTCCAAGATCGCCCCAAAACGCCCCCAGAGGGCCTCCAAGGCGGCCCCAGGACAGCCCAAGACGCGCCCAGGGCGCCCAGGACAGCCCAGGAGGGCTCGAAGAGCGGCCCGGGACGGGCCCGAGACAGCCCTGAAGGCGCCCAAGAACGCCCTGAACTGCTTAAGACGGCCCAATAGACGCCCCAAGAGGCCCCCAAGAGGCCCTGAGAGGCTTCCAGGCTGCCTCCAGGAGCAGAGAAGGCGGACGAGAGTGCGCGAGGCCCCTCGCAGGTCTCGAGGAGCACTTCTTCACGCTCCCTTCTTCACGCTCCGGGGGCCCAGGAAGCTTCTCTTCGGGGGGGCGTTGTCTTAGGATCCACGCTTAACGATCGACGATTGAGGAGATGAAGGATCGAAGGCAGGAGGGGGAGGAGGAGGAGGAGGAGGAGGAGGAGGAGGAGGAGGAGGAGGAGGAGCAGGAATATCCAGCAGCAGCAGCAAATACCAGGTGCGAGGAGCAGCAGCAGCAGCAGCAGCAGCAGCAGCAGCAGCAGCAGCAGCGGCAGCGGCAGCACAGCAGCAGCAGCAGTAGCAGCAGCAGCAGCAGCAGCAGCATCACCAGCGCCAATCGGCAGCATCGGGAAGAGCAGCAGCAGCACAGCAGCAGCAGCAGCCCGCCTTCGCAGCAGCAGCACATCAGCAGCCCCACGATGACCCCAGACTGTTTAAGACGGCCCCAGGATGGCACACGACGGCGCCAAGACGGTCTAAAACGACCCAGATGCTCCCCAAACGGCCCCGGCTGCAGGCTCCCTCTCTCTCTGTGAGGTGGGGGGGCGAGCCAGTTTGGGCAGAAGATGCTCAAGGCGGCCCCAAGGTGACCCCAGGCGGTCTGAGGTGGCCCCAGACGGTCCAGGCACCCTTCCAGGCAGATTCCCTGGCCGGAAGGCCGCGGGTCAGCCCCAGTCTCTCCTACAACGCCGGAGCCCGTGCGTGCTAGAAGGGTGTAATGGAAAGGACGAAGTACCGTCGAGCTTGATTAGTAGGTCGACCCTGCCCAAACAAGGGTACCCTTGTGTCCTGCGTTTCGCGACCCGTGCCCTCTACGTTCCACTGGCAATGTGGCCGTCGGAAGAGTCTTGTGTCCTCTCGCGTGTCCTCTCCAATCCACCCTGACTGTACACCAAATCCGCCCCGCGCGCCCTGCGAGGCTGCCCTGGGGAGCACAGGGCGGCCCCGCGCGCTACCGGGCGGCCCCGAGGCGCTCCACGACGGCCTCGGAGGGCCTCCCCACAGAGGCTCGCGGGCCCAACAGGCGCCCCAGAAGACGCCCGAGAGAGCCCGCACAAGCAACAATCGTTCCAAAACTTGTTCGGATAAAGTTAATGTTTGCAACTCCCGTGCTTTTTGCTTTCAAAGCGTCCGCGACGAAAACACGGGCCTCCAAAATCGCCCCAAGACGTTTCAGGTGGCCCCCATGAGGCTCCCCAGACGGCCCCTGGCGGTCCCAGGACGGCTCCTCTGGCGCCCATGACACCCTGAGAAATAGCCAAGGCAGCCCCAAGAGTGGCCACAGATGGCCCAAGAGGGCTTCTAGGCGGTCCCCAGTCGGCCCCACAGGCGCCCCAGACGGCCCCAAGATGCACCCACAAGGGCCCCCAAACGCTCCAAGGGGGGGCGGGGAAACGTACATGTTCGTAACCCTCGTGTTTTCCGTCTTCAGAGCGTCCACGACGACACTACATGCCTCCATAATCGCCCCAAGACGTTTCAGGAGGCCCCAATGAGGCTCCCCAGACGGCCCCCGACGGCCCCCAGACGGCTCCCGCGGCGCTCATGACAGTCCAAGAAGCCGTCCACACAGCCCCAAGAGCGGCCAGAGATGGCCCAAGAGGGCCTCCAAACGGTCCCAAGACAGCCTCACAGGCGCCCAAGACGGCCCCAGACGGAGCCAAGATGCACCCACGAGGGCACCAAAACGTTCCAAGTGATTCATCGAACCTACTGGAGACGTGCATTTTCGCAATTTCTGCGCTGTTCGTGTTCCAAACGTCCACGACAACAACAGAGGCCCCCATCATCGCCCCAAGGCGCCTCAGGAGGCTTCCATGAGGCTCACCAGACAGCCCAAGAAGCACTCAAGACAGCCCCAAGAGCGGCCAAAGATGGCCCAAGAGGGTCTCTAAACGGTCCCAAGACGGCCCCACAGGCGCCCAAGACGGCCCCAGACGACCCCACAAGGCGCCCAAGACGGCCCAAGAGGGCTCCAGGAGGCACCCGCCAAGACGGCCCAAGACAGCCCAAGAGGGCCCCAAGAGGCTTCTAGGTGGCCGAGGTGAAACCCCGAGAGGCCCCCAAACAGTTCTGAAGGAGAACGCAGCGCCCGCCATCAGGCTTGGCAAAGGCAACCCTAAAGACGTGGCCACAGCCCTCGAAGGGCCTCCCCACGAAGTCTCGACGGCTCAGAGAGAGAGAGAGAGAGAGAGAGCGCCCCGACGGTCCGGAGCGGACTCCCAGCGCGCCCCAGGGCGGCCCAAGAGCGCCCGACGACAGGCGAGACGCCTCCCAAGACGGCCCAGGAGACTTCCCGTCAAGGCCCGAGACGGCAAAAACATAGATTTTCCTATGCTTTTTTGAAGGATTCCCAGGCTCTTGCAATCTACTCCCTGGAAAGGCGCAATACGGCTCCAGGACCCTGCGATGTCGTTCCAACACGCCTCCAAGAGAGCCCCACGACGCTCCAAGAGTGCCCCGAGACATTCCCACGACGGTCCAGGACGGCCCCGCAACGGCCCAGGAGGCGCCCAGGATTGCCAAAGAGGCACCCAAGACAGCCCCAGGAGTGGCCCAAGACGGCCCACGACGGCCCAAGAGGCGCCTACGCCGGCCTCCGAAGGCCCCACCACGGCCCAGAGACACCCAAGACGCCCGAACAGAACCCCCCGTAGCCCCCCAACGCCCACAAGACGCCGCTGGACCCCTTCCCGCGGACCGCTTTCGCCTCCAGAGTTGCTTCGCTCACGGTGTTCTAAGGCTTTGCGATGGCCCCAGGAGCTCAACATGACCAGATGAGGTCAGGGTAGATGGGGTCGGAGGATTGCGCTGCATCGCCGCTGCATCCTCGATGCTTCTGGATTCGGAGCCCCAGCTTCTCACGCAGACGTCGGCGAAGCACCGCCGACGCCGCCGCTGCATCGCCGCTATAGCGCGTTCATCCAGGCCCATCTACTCGGACCCTATGTGGGCGGCCTCTCATGTGCCACCCCGACTCTTTCACGACGCGAGGGGGCGTCTCCCGCCCGCCCGCCATTACGGGCGCGTGGCGCCAAGCCGGCGGACACCTCGCCGCGGGGTGCTGCCCGCCGCTGTGCGCGGGCCCACCCGCGCCCGACAGCGTGTCGGAGCTAGACGTCATCCTGATTGCCTTTCGGCCCTACATCCGACCCCCCCCCTGCTACCACATGATGACGTGGCCTCAGAGCCCCGAATCATCAGGGGTAACTCGGGTCAGGGATAACTCGGGTTCTTTTTCCGGGAATCCAAACCCGAGTTACCCCGGACCCGAGTTACCCCGGATGACTCGGGCGTCCAATGGCCAGAGTCCACGGCTCCACCCCAGTCAGCTACAGCGCCGGAGTCAGCGCGTGCGAGAAGGGCGAGCAGTGGCAGCGGGCGCTGGCGCTGCTGGGCGAGATGTGGGAGCTGAGCCTGCCGCCCGATGTCAGCTCACCCCACGGCAGGTCCGTGTCGCGCCGATCGGCGGCGACCCCGCCGCCGGCGACCAGTGTTGAACGCCCCCGGCGACCCAGAAGCGTTTTCGATGTGGAGCGATGCGGACGTTTCGGAAACGGCCGACCGTTCGAGGTTGAACGGTTCCCGCGGTGTCAGAAACCACCCAGGCATCAATTGTCATTGTTTTTTCGTTTCGATGCGGGGTCCCAAGAAGTCTCGACGCATTCCCCAGGACCCGTTTCTCATCCTGAGTCTTTCTGTTGACGTTCCCGAGAGGCCTGGCGAGTGCCCCTGGAGGCCGAAGTTTGCGAACAACCTCCGTCGTGTTTTTTTCAATGCGTTGGATCTCTGGGCAAAGCCGAAATCAGCCCGGCACGAACCTGACGTACACGATGTCGGGGGCAGCGCGTGCGGCAAGGTCGCCTGGAAACCCCTCGTCTTCCCCCGCCTCCTCCTCCTTGTCTCGCACGCTGGACTCATCCTCCTCATTCTCTCCTTCCTCCTCCTCCTCCTCCTCCTCCTCCTCCTCCTCCTGCTCCTGCTTCTCCTCCCTCCTCCTCCTCCTCCTCCTCCTCCTCCTCCCTCCGCCTCCCTCCTCCTGCCCTGTAAGTGACAGTCTTCTCTGGTACCCCAGCATGGGATCAGCGCAGATTCGGCGCGAAGCCGGCGTGGATTCGACGCGGATTCGGCGCGTTGGACATGGATTCGGCACGGATGCGACAAGGATCGCTAGCACGCTGGGAGAGACGAGGTTCCCCAGAGATGCTACATCATGAGACGGTCCTGGAGGTTCCGAGCTGGGCCCAAGTCGGGAGCCTTGAGACGGGGGTCACTGCAAACGAGCGTCCGCCAGAGCACCGGATCTTGCAGGATCATGCAGAGATCCGGCGGTGCACTGCCCTGGGCCAGCGCGCCAGATCCTGCAGGGTCCTGCAAAGCCCAATTGACCTGGGTTGGGTTTGCATTGGCCCAGGTCCGTAGACCCCTGCTGGCCCCGCAGACGCCTCCAACACGGGCCAAGATGGCCCCGAGTTGCCCAGGATTGCCTCGAGACGACAGTGGAGGCCTCCGATGTCCGCTTATAAGACGGTTCCGATAGCTTTCTCCAGGAGGCCCGAAGATGCCCAACGCAGACTTCAAGAGCCCCTCGAGAGGCTCCAAGACAGCCCCCCAACCTCCTCCGAGAAGCTTCCGAGGGAAGATCTTTTAATCTCGTGCACAGGGTGTCTCGAACTCCGACCACTTTATTTCGGCACGGCACCCCCTCCATCACCCACATATTCCACCAGCCAGCGCGCCCCTCCGCTCCGACCCATTTATTTCGGCACGGTACACCCCTCCGCCCCGACCCCATTAGTTCGGCACGGCACACCCCTCCGCCCCGACTCCTTTATTTCGACACGGCATACCGCCTCTGCATCCCCCCACCCACCAGCCAGCGCGCCCCTCCGCCCCGACCCATTTAGTTCGGCACGGCACCCCCCCCCCCGCACCCCCCACCCACCGGCCAGCGCGCCCCTCCGCCCCGGCCCCTTTAATTTCGGCACGGCACACCCCTCCGCCCCGACCCGTTTTATTTCGGCACGGCACACCCCCTCCACACCCCTCCCCATCTCCTCCCTGCCTGGCAGCCATCGCGCCCCTCCGCCCCGACCCCTTTATTTCGGCACGTCACACCCCTCCACCCCGGCCCCTTTATTTCGACACGGCACACCGCCTCCGCATCCCCCCCACCCACCAGCCAACGCGCCCCTCCGCCCCGACCCTTTTATTCCCTACCTAGGCTCTGCCTAGAAGGGTTCTTACTGTGTTTGTTTAAAGGGGCCAGGCAGTGGAACCCGCCCCGGGCGGTTCGCCCAGGATCCGCCCCGCGGTTCCCCCAGTGATTTTCCCTTAGCTTAGCGTTGCTTATCTCATCTTAGCTTAGCTCATTTCATCTTAGCCTAGCTTAGCTGCATCTTAGCTTCGCCGAGCTTTAGCATAGCAGAGCACAGCATAGCATAGCAGAGCGTAGCACAGCACAGCGCTGCACAGCATAGCATAGCAAAGCCCAGCATAGCACAGCATGGCGCAGCATATCATAGCATAGCATAGCATAGCATAGCATGGCGCAGCATAGCACAGCACAACATAGCACCGCGCAGCATAGCATATCATAGCATATCATAGCATGGCATAGCAGAGCAGAGCAGAGCATAACATGATACAGCATATCATAGCACATCATATCATTGCGCAGCATAGCATAGCATAGCATAGCGCAGCCTAGCATGGCATAGCATAGCATAGCATAGCATAGCATAGCATAGCATAGCAACTAATGCTGCTTTCCTAGGGGCTCCAACTTCTAGGTAGGGTCGCACTGGGGTAATTTCGGCACGGCACACCCCTCCGCCCCGACCCTTTTTTATTTCGTCACGGCACACTCACTCCGCATCCCCTCCCCGCCCGCCAGCCATCGCGCCCCTCCAGGCTGTCAAGAGGGCTTCAAAACGGCTTCAGAGCGCCTCAGGACAGCCCAAGAGAGCCTCTAGACGGCCCAAGGAGGGCCTCGGTGCGAGGAGGAGGAGGAGGAGGAGGAGGAGGAGGAGGAGGCGAGAATGAGGAGGAGAAAGGTGGATGAGCATGTGGAGGAGGCCTCTCGATGGCGTCTGGAAGCATTGTGGGGCCAAACTTGGTCGTGGAGAAGGTGCCTCCGTAGGGGCCTCTTGGGAGCCTCGTCGAAGCTTCTTGGGAGCCTCTGGGGGCCTCTTGGGGCCTCTGAAATGCCTTCTGGGGGCCTCCGTGGGCTTCTTGAAGGCGTGTTGGCGGCCTCTAGGAGCCTCCTGGGGACCTCTCCGACATGTCCGTTCGGGTACCCCGTCTGGGCTCGCTTTTAGAGCCGTCTTGGAGGCGTTTTTGGCAATTTTGGATGTATTTGGGACTGTCTTGGGGCCTCTGGGGCCCTCTTGGGCTTATCTTGGTGGCTTGTTGGGCCGTCTTGGGGCCATCCTGGAGGCTTATGGGCAAGTTTGGACGCTGTGAGCCCCAGACGTCGTATATGCGAAACACGTACGTTTTCCTGAGGGAATGGGACGATTTGTGCTTGTTGGGGCCCTCTTGGAGAGCCTCTTGAGGCTCTCTTGGGGCTTCTCGGCGGCCTCGAGGGTCGTCTGAAGGCCATCTTGCGCGTCTTGGACCGCTAGTTCGGTGACTCGGGGCGCTTTAAAACTGTCTTAGAAGCCTCTTGGAGCATTCTTGGCGCGCTCTGGGCGGCCTCAGAGACCCCACCCAGGAGGAAAACCATCTCTGACAAAGGGTGGCCGGGCGGCGGGCGGGGTACTTTTGGACGGGGCACCCCCAGGGGCCGCCCCGCGCGCGCGAACTAGAATCTTGTTAACCAGTCTCCGGAGATCTTAGCACGCCTCTGGCCCGTTGGGCCGGCGAATTTCGGCACGGCACACCGCCTTCGCATCCCCCCACCCACCAGCCAGCGCGCCCCTCCGCCCCGACCCCTTTAATTAGGCACGGCCCCCCCCCTTGCATCCCCCCACCCACCAGCCAGCGCACCCCCTCCGCCCCGACCCTTTCTTTTTGGCACGCCGCCCCCACCCGCGCGTCCCCTCCGCCCCGATCTCTTTTATTTCGGCACGGCACACCCTCCGCCCCGACGCTTTCATTTCGGCAAGGCGCACCCCCTCCGCATCCCTCCCCACCCACCAGCCAGCGCGCCCCTTCCCGCCCCGACCCCTGATTTCGGCAAGACACACCCCTCCGCCCCGACTCTTTTCCGGTACCATACACCCCCTCCGCATCCCCCCCCACCCACCAGCCAGCGCGCCCCTCCGCCCCGAGCCCTTTTATTTCAGCACGGCACTCCCCCCCCGCATCCCCCCCCCACCAGCCAGCGCGCCCCCTCCGCCCCGCGACCCCTTGATTCGGCACGGCCCCCGCCCCCTCCCCGCGCGTCCCGCGCGCCCCCTCCGCATCCCCCACACAGCCAGCCAGCGCGCCCCTCCGCCCCGACCCGTTTATTACGCCCCCCCACCCCGCACCCACCCACCCACTCACAAGCCAGCGCGCCTCTCCGCCCCGACCCCTTTATTTCGGCTCGGCACCCCCCTCCGACCCGACTCGTTTATGTTGGCGGCAACGCCCCCTCCGCCCCATCCGCGCGCCCCCCTCCGTATCCCCCCACCCACAGCCAGCGCGCCCCCTCCGCCACGACCCTTTTTATTACACCCCCCACCCACTCACCCACCCATTCACAAGCCAGCGCGCGTCTCCGCCCCGACCCCTTTATCTCGGCACTGCACCCCCCTCCGCCCCGACCCGTTTGTTTTGGCGCGGCACTGACCCATTCATCTCGGCACGGCACCGCCCCCCCCCACCCCGAGCGCCCCCTCCGCATCCCCCCATCCACCAGCCAACGCGCCCCCTCCGCCCCGACACCCCCATCCCGAGCGCCCCCTCCATCACCCCATTCACCAGCCAGCGCGCCCCCTCCGCCTCCTCCCCCTTTTCTTCTTGTGCAAGCGCCATGGCGTGCGTGCCACTTGTTACAAAATCTGGGACCGTGCCGGCCACCAAAGAAACGAAGACACCCATGCTGGAGTGTCGTTAAACGAAGACACCCATGCTGGAGTGTCGTTGGAAAGTGAGGCCACGCGCTTCTCAATTTCCAGTCTTGGTCCTCATACGGGCCCAACGTTCTCAAGATCGTCCCAGGGCGGCCGAAGATGCCCCCTCGGATAGCCCTCTTGCCGCCCGAAAGCCCAGCGGGTCTCCAAGCTAGCCCAACACCCCAAAGAAAGCACGAGGAAGCACATATTCAGCCCAGGAGGGCACCATTACAGTTTTCACCAGCATGCACCTGCCCTCAGCAGCAGCAGCAACAACAAGCAGTAAGCAACCCAGCAAGCATTCAAGCAACCAGCAAAAAGTAACAGGCAAGCAAGCAAGCAAGCCAACACGCTTGCAAGCAGCAACAAACCGATGCAAGAAGGCCAACTGTTTGCAAGCCAACTGTTTGCAAGCAGCAGTCTACACAAACAAACAACAACAAGCACACGCTGGACACGCTGTTTGACGTGGACGAAAAAAAAACCAATTCAGGCCCCAAGAAGGTCCAACAGACCCTCGAGCGATGTCTCGAGAGATTCCCCTTACGAGCTCCCCGAAGACTCCCAAGAGGTTCCTCGCCCTCTCCCTCCTCCATCCTCGCCCGTCTCTGCTCTGCCGTCGCCTTCTTGCTGTTCGTTGATCGTTCCTCTCTTTCGTCGCTTTCCCTCCTCGATCTCCTCACCCCTGACGCCTCGATCTTCTCCTGTCAGCAGGTTGCGCCAGCAAGCAGAAGCAGCGAAAAACAGCACCATGCAGCATTAGGCATCACCTGCGAACGGCAGCAGCACGCAGTACGAAGCATGCAGCAGCAGTGGACAGCATGCAACAGGCAGCCGGCAGCCGGCAGCAGGCAGCCGGCAGCAGTGCGCACCAAGCAGAACAGTCCATTAGCAGCACCCGGAGCAGCAACACGCGGCACAGGCAAGTATTTGTAGCAGCACGTAACATCGGCAGCAAGCAGCAGCATGCAGTAGCATGCGCTGCAAGCGAGGGTCGAGCGCCGCGTTAGCATTGAAGCCTTCGGGCAGTATCTCCACAAATACATGCACGTCCGTGCAGATTTCGCAAACGTAGTCCACGGGTCAGCCCCAGTCAGCTACAATACTGGGATAAGCGCGTGCGAGAAAGGCAGGCAGTGGCAGCAGGCCCTGTCATTGCTCAGCGGGATGCTGCAGGCGAAGGTGGAGCCCGACGTTATCAGCTACAGCGCTGGCATAAGCGCTTGCGAGAAAAGCAGTCAGTGGCAGCATGCTTTGTCGTTGCTCAGCGCGATATGTTCTGGCAACTTGGAGCCCAACATCGTCAGCTACGCAGCAGGGATCAGCGCGTGTGGGAAATGCGAGCAGTGGCAGCATGCTCTGTCCTTGCTCGGCGTGATGTGTGCTACGAGCGTGGAGCCCGACGTCGTATGCTACAACGCAGGAATCACTTCGTGCGAGAAGGGCAGGCAGTGGAGGCATGCGTTGTCGCTGCTCGGCGAGATGCGGGCCGCGAAGGTGGAGCCCAGCCTTGTCCCTGCCACGGCGCAGCAGGAGCCGGCTCTCGCGAGCTGGAACCCCAGACGTCATCCGACTACCTTTAAGTCGGCATGTCCTCCTACAGGGGGATTTTGGGCGAACAAATATACCCCAATAACTTCAAAAAGTAGCCAAAGGATGCTAAACAAATCGTCCCCATACTATCTTCTTCGCTACTTTTGAATATTTCTCCTATGGAGGACGGGCCCGACTTACGACTACCTAGTCTCTTCAATGCACGCCCCTGAGTCCCCGACCTCCCTCCCTGGAGGCAGTTCCTTGTCCCGCGCGTCGTTCTTGTCTATGGCCCTGGGGCCCGGTAAATGGTCCCCAGGGGCAGCAATCGAGGGACAACGCCAGGATGGCGCAAGTCTGAAGTCGGGCGTGTCCCTCGACAGGAAGAAGATTCAAAGATAGCCAAAGAAATAGTCTGGGGACAATGGTTTTTAGAACTGCTGTCGGCCATTTGGGTATTTGTTTTGGCCATCTCTTATCTTTCTTCCAGAATCCGCCTGTAGGGGGACATGCCCGACCTAACGCAAATCGTGCCGGCGGAGATCGGGGGGGCCCGCGCGGCCCATGCCCGGAGGCCCCGAGGCGGCCCCAGCGAGGCGGCCCCGGCTGCGGCCCTCCCTGCGGGGCCCGAGGTCACGCGCCAAGAGGGCTTCCAGGCGTGCGCCCCGCGCGGCCCCGTGGGGAAAAACACACACACACACACACTGTGGGAAAAAGCACATAGGTCTGTGGAGAGAAAAAAAACACTGTGGGGAAAAAACACACTGTGTTTGTTTTTTCCCCACTGTGTGTTTTTTTCCCCGGTGAGGCGATCGCGAACAAGGATCAAGAGGGCGTGGACTGGTGACGGGTCTCGCTTCCATGGGGAATCCCAGCTTTCCGCCCACGAACGGAGCGGGACCGGCCGCATTTTGGGGGGGGGACGGAGGATCGCAAAGATGGATCAAGAGGGCGTGGATTGGTGACGGGTCTCGTTTCCATTGGGAATCCCAGATTTCCGCCAACGAGCGAGGCGGGACTGGCCGCATTTGGGGGGGGGGGACCTCCACCGATCCATGGATTTGTCCGTGGAACGCTAATCCATGTTTGCGCGCCCCTGACCCTGGTCCTGTGGATGACGATCAATGGAGAGAAAGCATGTGGCTAAACAATTCCCAGATGGCTTAAACATGTCCGTTAACATGTTTCAGACATGTCACAATTAGGGTTTAAGTATCTTTATAAGGTGTGGCAAACATTGTAAACACATTCTTAATTCAATGATGGGATTGTCAGGGTGTTTCATTGTCATGGCATCCACAACCCCGATGTGGACCTTCATGGAAGCCTCCGACTGTCACCTGATTCCTTGCCGTTTGGGGGGGTTCGTCCAGATGTCGTCGGATTGGGCCGACGTCTGGACGACATCTGGGCGAAGCCTGGACTTCAGGGTGAAGGCAGACAGCAGCCGCGCTCAGACGACGCGTTTGCAAGGAAGCGTGTGACGAGCGACGGCGTGCGAGCACATCACCAAAGTAACTCAGGATGGTCGTGCTGCGGGTGGAATCTGCGAATGGAGAGGTGAAGAGGGCCCAGGAGGGGAGCCGAGTACGCTCCAGAACATCGACCTGCGAGCATCGCCCTCAATCCCCGATGCCTGGTGGATCTCCCCCTCTGCTTCCTCCCGGCTCTCCGACGCCCGCCCCCCGACCTTCTCCTCGAACCCTTGGTCCTCGGAAATCCCGATCCTCGTCGTGCGAGCCTCGATGCCCGCTCCGCGATCCTCGACCTGCACGAGCTCTGCTGTCAAGACCGCGGCCTGCGATCCCCCCCCCCTCCCCTCCGCCGTCTCGCGGGGGGGTCGGGCGGCGTGGCGCGGCGGGCCCGCGGGGCTGCCCCCGCCAGCGAGGGGGTAGCCTCCGGGAGGTGGCCTCGAGGCCAGCCCCCGAGCTCTTGGACTCCGGGACTCTTGGGGGGGAGGGGGAGGAGGAGGAGGAGGAGGAGGAGGAGAGGAGGAGGAGGAGAAGGAGGAGGAGGGGGAGGATGAGGAGGTGGTGGAGGAGGAGGGAGGAGGAAGAGGAGGAGGAGGAGGAGGTGGTGGAGGAGGAGGAGGAGGAAGAGGAGGAGGCGGAGGAGGGGGAGGGGTAGGGGAGGGGGAGGGGGAGAAGGAGGCGGAGGAGGAAGGGGAGGGGGAGGAGGAGGAGGGGGAGGGGGAGGGGGAGGGGGAGGGGGACAAGCCAGGTGCGCTGACGTCCTGCCCGTTCCTCCCAGCCCTTGCTGTGGCGCAGATCGCCTCTCTGTCCGCACCGTCGACTGCCGCAGCACGGCATAGCATGGCGGGCGTGTCTCCCTACAGTGGGATTTCCGATGAAAAATAAAACATATTCCGAACACGCTCCAAAAAGGTCAACAAATATTCAACAATAATCCCCATATTATTTTGGGATTTTTTTTGTATATGTTGGAGTATTTCTTATCTTTCTTCGAAAACCCTTCTGTAGGGGGACACGCCCGACTTAAGCATAGCATTACATGGCAGAGCATGGTGTTGAGGATCAATGCGCATCATGACATAGCACGGCACAGGGGCTGCGCCGAGGTGGCGCCAGAGGAGGCTCCTTTTCCCCGCACGGCAGGGCCGTGTTTCCATTGTTTTCGATAGAACGTGTCTCTTGGAAGTGGAAGCACCAAAAAACTCGGCGACCGGAAACGGCAAAGCAACGGCTCCGGGATTGGAACTGGAACCGGAACCGGGCAACAAAAACGGCCTCGGAACCCGCAACAACAATTGCAAAACGGAACCAATATCAAAGTTGCCTTGTCGTTTCCAGGGTCCACGAAGGTCGGGGAAACGATGCTCACCAAAGCTACCCATTGCATCATTGTGTCGTCGGCCCATCCTTAGCCACTTTCGCCTTTCCTGGCCGACCGAAGGCCGGGGATGGCCTAAGACGCCACTGGCTGGCCTCCGAGAGGGCCTCAAGGCAGCTGCAGGACGGCTCAGTACCGCTCCCAACCCAGACACCCTCGAGTCGTCAACAAAGTCACGTCGGAGGGTTTGGCTATTTTCAGCCTCTGGGGGCCCTCACCGGGCCCCTGGACCGTCAAACAACGACTTAGGATGGAAGCCTGGTCCAGGGAAATGGGTCGAGACCCTTGGGGGTCGACGTTGCGAATAAATCATGACGTCGGGGGTCTGGGAACATAGCCACATAGCCCGAATACCCCCCGACGGCCTCCAACCCCCCCAAAGTGCACAACGAAAATCCAAGGAACCCACGATGGCTTCGAGAGGCTACTGAAGAGGGTGCCCATATAGCTCAAGATGGCTTCAGCATAGCCCCGAGAGGGCATGAATACAGGAGACCGCGGTGGTCTTAGCAAGAAGCAAGCAGCGAGCAGCAGCAGCAGCAGCAAACAACAATCATGCACTAGCAATTCGCAGCAGCAGGGACCCTCAGCAGCATGCAGCAGCATCCGAGGATCAGAACATGCAGCAGCGCGCCGCGACAGATGGAGCCAACATCGGAGGCAGGATTCTCAAGAGCAGGAGGAAGAGGAAAAGACTCTGCCATCTTTCCGTGACCCTCCTCGCGGGGTCTGTCCACCGCACAGCCAGCGCATCGGTTGACCGTGCCGCAGTATCACCCGTGCCCCTTTGCGTGCCGGATTTCGTCCGGGCTTCAGCCGAGTCGCCAATTTGATCGGTTGAAACCGGTGTGATGCACTCACTACATTGCTGCGCCATTCTAGGCGGGCGGTTTGCCTAACCAGCCCACGGGTACACTCCAGTCAGCGTTAATGCTGGGATTAGCGCGTGCGAGAAGGGCGAACAATGGCAGCACGCACTGTTGCTGCTCAGGGAGATGTTGGAACTTCACTTGAAGCCCGACGTCGTCAGCTACAGCGCTGGGATCAGCGCCTGCGAGAAAGGCGAGCAGTGGCAGCGAGCCCTGTCGTTGCTCCTTGAGATGAGTTGCGCGAGATTGCAGCGCAACATCATCAGCTACAACGCAGGGATCAGCGCGTGTGCGAGAGGAGGGCAGTGGCACCACGCACTGTCTTTGATGAGGGAGGTATGGGATTCGAAATTGGAGTGCGCCGCCAACACCTACAATGCAGCGATCAGGGCATGCGAGAAAGGGACGCAGTGGCAGCGGGCTCTCACGCTGCTCAGTGAGATGCTGGAAGCGAGGCTGGAGCTCAATGTCATGACCTTCAACGCTGGAATCAGCGCGTGTGAGAAAGGCGAAGCATGGCAGCACGCTCTGTCGCTGCTCAGCGGCATCTCGGCGGCGGAACTGGAGCCCAATGTCTTCTCTCCTACATGGCCACTGGAAGCGCGTGCGAGAATCTCTCAGGGCCTCGTGTGCAGAAACTCGTCCCTTTCCGGCGCCACCACGGGGCCAAATCGCTCAGGCCGGTCCCAGAGGCGCTCCAGAGGGGTTCCCAGACCGTCCAAGAGCGCTCCAAGACGGCCTCAGTGGGTCACGAGACGGCCCACGAGGGCCCGACGCCTTCCGGGGGGGCTCCACGACGATCCAAGAGGCCGCAAAGACGCCCCAAGCGGGCCCCGAGCGCACGCCAAAGAGGCACAAATCGTCAAATTCCGATGGGAAATCGTATATGTTCAGCATGCCCACCTTGTGTGCTCCTCAGCGGCCCAGGACTCGCCAAGAGGCCTTCCAAATCGCCCCAAGAAGACGCCAGCGGCCCCTGAGAGGGCTCCAAGACGGCCCACAAGAGCCTCAAGACGACGCCAGAGAGCCCTGAAACGGCCTCACAGAACCCCAAGACGGCCTCAAGAGAGCTCCGAGGGGCCCCAAGAGGCTCCCAAGGGCCTCAGGCAGCCTCAAGAGAGCTCCAAGACGGTCCAAGGCCTCCCAGACGCCCCGTGACGGCCCAAAAAGGCCCCAAAACGTTCCAAAACGCTCCCAGAGCAGCCCAGAAAAGCTTCAGAATGGCCCGCAAAAGACCCCCACACGGACCACCAAGCATGCCCAGAGACGCCTATTAAAAGAGCGGTCGGTGAAATACAAAGCTCTCCGAACCAAGGCTCCCAAGAGCGAGCCGCAGCGTAGAGAGCCCTCCGGCCGGGCCCCGCGCGCTCCAGGCGGCCCCGAGGCGCTCCACGACGGCCTCGGAGAGCCTTCCCACGAAGGCGAGAGGCGGCGGTTCCAGGGTGGTCTCTTCCACACCTTTTACTACTTTCTCGGCCTCCGGCCGAGGGCGTCAAGGCATCGTGAAGCCTGTCAGCCACATCATCCTCTTGTTACGAAGGCTAGAGGGCCCCGGACGGCCTCAAGGCGGCTCAGAGCCGCCCGCGAGAGCGCCCCGACGGCCCGAGCGGACCCCCAGCGAGCCCCAGGGCAGCCCAAGAGTGCCCGACGACAGGCGAGAGGCCCCCCAAGAAGGCCCAGGAGACTCTCCGCCAACCCCTGAGACGGCCAAAATCATAGATTTTCGGGTCGGGCGAAAGGGGGGGATTGGGAAAGGGGGGGTTACGAAATCTGCTGCATGCAGCTGGTTTCGGCCCCACCGAGGGGCCCAGTCCTCGATCCGCCTCCTGGCGCCGGGAGGCGCCGGGGAAATCAGCTACGCGAGCTGATTCTCAACCCCCCCTTTGCTATCCCCCCCTTTCGCCCGACTCGAGAGACTCTCCGCCAAGCCCTGAGACGGCCAAAATCATAGATTTGACATTGCTGTTGGAAGGATTCCCAGGCTCTGGCCACCTGGGCCCTAAAACGGCCCAGTACGGCTCCAGGACCCTACGAGGTCGTCCCAAGACGCCCAAGACGCTCCAAGAGTGCCCCGAGACGGTCCAACGAGTGCCCCAAGACGCTCCAAGAGTGTGCCGAGACGGTCCCACGACTGCCCAGGACGGCCCCGTGACGGCCCAGGAGGCGCCCAAGACGGCCCATGAGGCACCCAAGACGCCCCCAGGAGCGGCCCAAGACGGCCCAAGACGGCCTTACGCTGGCTTCCGAAGGCCCCAACACTGCCCCAGAGACACCTAAGACGTCCGAACAGAACCCCCCGTAGCCCCCAAACGCCCCAAAAAACGTTCCGAGAGGCTCCCAGGTTCTCAGTAGCTTCAGACTTGCCTCCAGGAGAGGGGGCGGGCAGAAGAGCCGTCTTGGATGGCCCGAGAGTTGCCAGGGGCCTCAGACTCGCGCTGGTGGCCACTGCGGTTTCGACCCCACCGCCATCCTGAAAGCCTGTCGGCAACATCTCCGCGCAGACCCCGCGAGACTTTGTCGCCAGCTTTCGTGGACATAGTCCACGGGTTCGCCCTAGTCAGCTACAACGCTGGGGTCAGCGCGTGCGAGAAGTGTGCACAGTGGCAGCAAGCTCTGTCGATGCTGAGGGGGATGCTGGATGTGAAGCTGGAGCCCGACGTCACCGTCACCGATGCCGAGTTCCGGAGGAGGAGGCGGAGGAGGAGGGGTGGAGGAGGGATGATGATGATGATGATGATGATGATGATGATGATGATGATGATGATGATGATGATGAAAATGATGATGATGAAAATGATGATGATGATGATGATGACGATGATGACGATGATGATGATGATGATGATGATGCTGATGATGATGATGGTGGTGGTGGTGGTGATGATGATGATGATGATGATGATGCTGCTGCTGCTGATGCTGATGGTGCTGGTGTTGGTGCTGGTAATAATGATGATGCTGATGATGATGATGCTGATGATGATGCTGATGCTGATGCTGATGCTGATGCTGATGCTGATGCTGATACTGATGCTGATGCTGATGCTGCTGATGATGATGATGATGAAGATGATGGATGCCGAGGAGGAGGAGGATGAGGAGGAGGAGGAGGAGGAGGGGGGGCTGCAGACGTCCCCCCCCCCCCGAACCTCTCGGCTCCCCGGGGGTGCCCGCACCCCCTGCCTGCCGTGGAGACCTTGTGGGGTCGGCAGCCCTCGGGTTCCGGCTCTGCCGTGCCGCCTGCCCGATGGTCGGCGGCGAGCGACCCAGACCTCCAACGCATAACAAAACTCAAGGCGCATTTTTTTTTTTTTTGATTTTCGGCCCCCAGGGGCCCTCGCCGGGCTCCGGGACTGTCAAAAAACGACTCAGGATGAAAAACTGGTTTTGGGGAATGGGCCGAGACTTCTGGGGGCACCGTCTTGAAAAAAACACGACGTCGGCTCTCTGGGGAGGGTCGTTTCGACTGGCGGCGACCCCGCCGCCAGCGTTCAATGTAGAACGCCGACGGCGACCCAGAATCGGTCGATGCTGAACGAGCTGACGTTTGGGCAGCGCTCGATCGTTCAAGGTTGGATGATCCCCGCGGTGTCAAAGTCCGATGCCGGGGTCGACACGGCACGAACCTGCCGCATGCGCGCGCGCACCAAAATTTGGGTTTACGCGGCAGGGGGTCCATCGTCAAGGGGGGGGCAATAGACTTGGTGCAATAGATTTGTGGTGTTGCAATACATCTGGGGCGTGCAATACACTGCGGGGCGCAAATGTATTGCTAGACTTTCGCGTACAACGCATTACTTGCAATACAATGCATTCCATTTTCCAGCGTAATACATTTGCAATACAATTGCCCGAATCTCTTGCACCACCCCCTTTCAGCTAGACCCCGTTTTGGGCCCCCAAAAAGGGGGGCACGTGAGAAGGAGAAGGCCTTCTCAGAAGCAGGTTCGGAAGTCCCCCGGCCTTCGGAGAAGTCTTCCGGGCCTCCCCCGAAGAGGCAGAACAAAAACTTCTCGGAAGGCGCGAGCGGCCTTCTGAGGAGCCCCGCGGCCTTCTCAGAAGGCCCTCGCCTTCTCATGTCCGCCTCTCGCACGCCGCCGAGAAGATGTTAGATTGTCCAATCAATGAAGCAATCAAGCCATCCTCGCGGCCATGTCTTGTCGTGCTGCCGTCGGAATAACACGCACACGCATACATACATATATACATATATGTATACACACATAACATCAGATCATACCATATTATAGATGCCATAATTATATATATATATATATAGAGAGAGAGAGTGCGCCGAAAAGGCGATGGTGGCAAAACTGGAAGAGAGCACAGCAGGCCGTGCGCCGCCGAGGAAATCCAGGAGCGAAAGAAGGACGTACACGTACATGAATCCACGCTGCGAGAGCACGCCTTGCGCGAATTCTCGTATCACGCGGCCGGTCTCGCGTGTCGAGGGGCCGTGTTCATGTACATAGTTTGACGCGTACGTCCTATGTGGGCTCCCTAGAGGTGTGGCGAGGGCGGGGCGAAACCCCATCGATCTGTTCGAGCCGCCGCCCGTTCGCCCAGGCCCCGCCTGCGAGCCCAGGGGGGTGGCCGCGGCCCCCTCTCGGACGGGGCTGGGCAGAAGTCTGGCCTGTCCTCCCTCTACAGGAGGAATATTTGGAAACAAACGCTAACAATTCTCTGGGGCGATTCGACTAGTTCTGCTGGTTTGTGAATATTTGTTGATGCTGTTTCGCTGCTCGTCCAAAGCCGGCCTGTAGGAGGACATGCCCGACCTAAGGCTAGGACGAGGATACATCTCTCCAGAGCGTTCAAGAATGCTCTCAGAGCGCTTCGGAGCTCTCTTAGAGGGCCGCGGCGCCCGAGACGTCAGGGCCACCAGATCTCAGAGGTTCTCGATTGATCCACGGGGCCCAAGAATCAGAATATACACCACCACCACCACCGCCTCCACCACCACCACCACCACCACCACCACCACCACCACCACCACCACCACCACCACCACCACCACCACCTCTCTCACCCCGTCCCTCTCCCAGGAAAGAGGAGGAGAAGCAGAAGAGGCAAGAGAAGGGAGGAGGAACCGAGAGGAGAGCTTCGTCGCAACGATTTCTTTCAAGCTCGGGGAGAGGCTTG